TGTAAATCGGTATCCTTATGTACCACACGGTATAAGAGCACATATAATAGTAAATATACTAATTTCTTACTTTATAACTTTATAATTCTGGCCAAAATCTGCCAAACCCCTTTAAGTGGTAGTTTTTTAGCCCCTAAACCTCTGCTATGTACCGGATGTGTACCACTTAAACTTGACAAGTGTAAGGTTACTTCGAGAGACTTTCTGAAATTCCTCAGCACTTTTGAGACAAGTGCTGAGAGCACTTTTCCATGAGAGTAGTGAAAGTGACACCATTCATGAAACGGGAGGGTGACAAGAGAAGAGAGAAAATAGGGAAGGGGGAAGAGAGAAAGTAGGATTTTGGGAGGGGTGAGGGTGAAGAAGAACAGATTTGGTGGGGGTTACTTTGCCTTTGCATTTCATCTCCTTAGAGCGCTGACTTCAGCATGGATTAGGCAACGTGTTTGTTCTCAGTGCTCTGTTCTTCTGCTCAGAGGAGGAGATGAGAGAAGCTGTACTTCATGCACTGTCAAGGTCAGCAAATGCCCTCAGATAATCATATTCCACTGTAATTTTACCTGTGTGTTGAAGCCAGCTGTCGGCGTGAATAGATGAGCACCCAAAGTACACTCTAGATCCCAGAACAAATGGTGTGGCTGTGTAGGTGTTTGTAGTTTTGTGCACTAATATCCACCTTTGTGTTAGTTTTTCTGTATAAATTAGACTACTCATTGAGCTGGAGGGCAAATACCAATTTAAAACACTGTGTCGATTTGGCTTATTTCCACTGGTGACTTTGCCTTTAGGATAATGACAAAGAGCCTTGAGAATCTCCCCTGCCATTTGTTAAATGAGCCTAAGGACGGCACGGAAGGCAAGGAAATCCCTTTTGAGTGAAAGATACAGGCAGTTGTATCATTGCTATGATAACTTTCCTCTGGTTCACAATGTGCTGGGTAGTGGAGCTCGTGTCTCTATAATGAACCTCATGGGCTTTGCAGAAGACACTGTGAGCTGCCTGAGCTGTGTGCGGTAGCCCTTTCCCATAGCCTCTGGCAACCTAGCACGCTAATGATGCTGTGCTGGTTCAAAGTGTTCCACTGAGCACATTTCTGTGTGAGCAGGATACCCAATGTACTGTTTTGCGTTTGTGTGTGTGTGTGAGAGAGAGAGCGCGAAAGAGTGCCTTTTCATGTATCTGCAATTGTGTGTTTTTGCTTTCATGTATATGTGTGGTTGAATGTATTGCTGAATGTGGCCTCACAAGATTATTGTGTTTTTTTTAAAGCACACTGTGGATTATGTTCTAATTAATAAAAAATTAGCTTTGAAGGCCACTAAAATAGCTGACCGGCATTTGAAGGAGGAGCTGACCAAAGTACAAATAAGGAAGTCCAGATGCTGCACTGTCCCATGGCGCTAAGTTATGAAGGATCAACTGTTGATGCAGTCATTACAGTCTGGAATAATTACCTAGTCCACCTCATGCACTCCCAAGAGGGAGTAATTCTGGACTACCCTGCCAGAAAACACAACATATAGTTAGTCAGCTATTTTTCAGTTACAACACTGGGAAATTTACAGCTTATTCAGTGGAAGACAAGCAGCAACTGCACCCAGTAAAAGGGTTGACATAAACTTGTTTTTATTTTAATGTATGTTTTGTTTATTATGTTTTTTTCCCTGTGGTTTCAAATGGAAACTCGTTATCAACAATGCAGCTATCGCCTAGGTGTCATTGTACCTTGGCAGAAATGTCTAGTTGAAGTCCAGTTTTGTGTTGAATTAAAGATCAGCAGGGGTAAATCAAAAGTATAAATTACTTTGCAGGCATAAATAATGTAGGGTATACAGAACATAATGGCTCAGTCTCACTAGAGGAAGAGCTCAAATACAACCTTGTGAATCAGTGGTTACCTGGTGTTTGTGCTTATTTTGCTGTTGGAGACCAATTACGAGTAATTGTGGTGGCCCAGAGGTTGAGTGTGCAACCCTTTCAACTTCTGGGTGGTCGCTTTTGATAACAAGGTGACTGAAAAGGTCAACAGGTGGGAGACAACTTGTCTCCAAACAATTCTGGTGTGACTCAGATTGACTGCAGTCACTCCCAGACAGTGTGGTGACGTTTCGCGAATAGTTACCCTCTAATTTACAATTGCAGACTGCATTACAATCAATTTGAGTAACTCTGTGCTGATGACCCAAAACATGTCTGCAATGTGTTGCTATGCAAAAGGGAACTCAATTCAATTGGTCGCCAACTGGCTGTATTCTGGTTATATTTCTATATAAAAGTAAGGTTGTTGTCATCGTGCAGTTAACAACTATGTTACTACATTACTCTCTAAGGAATTTCTGAATCTTATCCATGAGGTTCTGGCTAGACTGAATGATATAGCTATTTTGTGAACTTCTGTGTACACGGGAAGAGATTGGTGACCAACGGTGACAGAGTTGCAGTTTTCAACGATCACACATAGATTGCATGTGATTGCCAAATTTACTCCCATTCAGCTGCAAACTGACAAAAACACTTGCACCAGTAAAATCAAACATTTAAGTGCTCTGACAAACAGTGTCACCAAAATCCTCAGTGAAATGACACAACATGTTGCGCAGCTCTTGATAATGATCCCTATTTTATAATGCATTTACTCCCATATATGTCACTTGGATCCTTTACACTATCAACAGCAGCCATATATAGAAGTAATGCAATTCTGTAGTACTCGCAGCCAGCTGCTCTCTCACAGTGGGTATCTAACCTTTTTATCTGGTGTGAAAAAGACAGTGTTGGAGCAGCGGAATTATCCCGACCTCTAAGGTCTGAGCTATACACTTGTGCTGACGTGCTCCTCGGCTAAGGTCTTTATACTGTGTCACCTAGCCCCTTCCAATACCAGCAGTTTCAGTTTCCTTAATGTCAAGCCACTTTTGTGCATTCAGCAGCAGCCTGTTCCTCAGAGGAAAAGGTTAAAATGCTGTGTTTCAGGGGCTTGGGCAGGATGCCTCCCGTGCTTTCACCAGAAATAGTCCCACGGGGAAGGCCACAGCTGAAACTAGCTGACAAGTCCACTTTGCCAGTAGGTCATCACGTAAATTGGAACCAATTAATTTTAGATGTAAGCAAGTAATTCTTCTGATCTAGATTTTGGACAGCGGTGACTCGCATGAACTGCACACATTGTGTGTGTTATGTGTGAGAGCAAAAATGCGCTATGCCAAATGTTGCTGAGCATCTTGCCCTCAGGGCTGCAGGTTCCCAAAGGAAGATCCGCGTATGGGTGACAGTTTGTGACTAACAAGTGGAGCTGCTGCTTTGCACTGTTTGATCAAGGTCTACACACCTGATAATGACGTGGATTTTTCCACATTATCCACCACGGATGATTTCTCAAAATGATGGTCTGCATTTTGGAATTTCTCTGTGATTTTTAGGAAGTTATATCTCTCAAGGACAGTGAGAAATTTCCCACATGGCGACTTGGCTGTATTCACAGTACTCTTACCAGCCTCTTCTTTTTCTTCTTTGCTATTTTCTTTTCTTTCTTTCTTTTTTTTTACTATTTTTCAGCAGAATCACAAAGACAATAAATGCAGTAGGAGAATGTCTTCTAATCAGGGAGTGTGACAGAGGATTTACAAGAAGGGAGCAACAAAAGCTCTGTGTGCCACAAACAAACAAAACCATGAACAGTAAATTTGTTTCAATTTACCAAAGGAAAAGAAGCATGAATAATTCATACTTTCTTTAGTTAGATTTTTACAGTAGATGATCCCCCAGCATCATCCTCCATGGAGAATTGTGGCTAGAAACAAAAACAATAATAAAAAAATAACTTTTTTATTAGTAACACTATGTTCTGCCCAAATCAAAATTCATTTTATCTATGCATTTTGTTTGTTTACTTCTACCATCCTGAAAAATGCTGAATTTTTCAGTTTTCATTGTGTGAAATTGCAAGAGCGCAAAACGGTAAAAGGATAAACAAAAACATGAGAGAAACCTGCAAAAACAAGACAAAATGTGGACTGTGTATTGGTAAAGATGTTTTGTCTTATTGACATATTGACAGTTCCCTCATCCAACCACACACATACACATATACATATATATATATATATATATATATATATATATATATATATATATATATATATATATATATATACACAAATTGAAAAACACAGTTCTCATATGTATGGCTTTGATTCAGATATGTATCAGCCATTAACATACAGATAATGTATTTTTGTATACATGTGTATACAGAAGTGCCTTGAGGCAACCATTGTTGTGATTTGGTGCCATATAAATAAAAGTGAATTGAACTGAACTAAACAAGAGTCCTTACTATGCTAAAATAAATCTGCTGGGTATCTACTCAACAATTAGTTTCACTTCACCAAGGTCAATGAGCCAAGAGAAGGTGTAGAAGGTACCATCATATAGGGCCTTTGTAAAAACCTTAATGCTAATTTCCAGCCATTGATTTGACCTTTGCTGGAGAAGTGAAATGAAGAACCTTTCATGGTTGGTTGAATGAAAAACAAAGTCCATATGTATCTTACCCTAGAAAGCATCAGCTTGTTAAAGGGTTTGAGGTGGGTGTGAGAGAGCACGAAGTCGTCACTGTACCTGTGCAGTGCTTATGGAGGGCCCCTAGCATCCGTTTTCCATATTCCTCATGTTGCTAGAAACTATATGGCACATTTCTCTGAGGCAAAAATCCCCCAGACTCCTGCTGGCAGACCGAACAGAACATTCTGACCTGAAACTATCTCTTTCATAACTAATTAATGCTGCGTTTAGGCCTAATCTCCCAGTGCGTTTTCTTTTATGCCTTTCTTAATGTAGTTTATCATCACAGTGACAGCAGGGATCTCCCTTCCTCGAATTCAGTGAGCAGCAGCACGCAGCAGGAGGGAATTTTCGACAATAAATGGGTATGTGACTTAAAATACTAAAAAGCAACATGTGTCATCGCTGTTCAAACAATTGATTGCCATTCAAGGTCTCACTGGTCAAGGATCTGCTGCTGCAGCAGGCTCAGCATGGAGTATGATGCCAGACTGGAAAGATAAAGACAGGAAATCAACAGCCAAACTGACATGATGCCATGGTTAGGGTTACGTCAATCTTACACCCTAGCCTTAGCTGACAAAATTTAAGAACAGATATCTTCTCAGATGTCTGAGTCATTGCTGCACTTGGGCAAATTAATCTCAAGTCCCAAATAGGCTTAGTATCATCATTTGTATATACAGTCGCAGCCAGCTCACATGTGGTCATCAGCTGAGAGTGTAATTCTCGCTGTTTGCCTTGAGCAAAGCTCCAGCTGACCCTCATCTTTTGTTTAACGAGTAACAAACTGCAAAATGAGGAATCACCACAGCTGCCTCAAATAGAATAGTTTTTCTTTTTTTTTAAGGGCCTTTGTGAGAAGATAGTGGGGGTTTCAGTCCCCGATTTCCTCTTTGCTACCATTCCTGTCTTTTCAAGTGATCTTTTTAAACGGCACTTTTACAGAGGTGGCAGTGAGTCATAAAGGAAAGATTGGGTGGCTGTCTTATGGGGACATATTTGTTCCATATTTATCCAGTTTAAGCTATAACTGCACTGTAAATGCTCGTGCTCATTCAAGTTGCTGAAGGAAAAATCACTTTTAAATAACAAACAAATAACGATTTCTCACACGTCACAGGATGAATGTTTGTAATATGATTCCCGTGCAGTGTACAGGAAATGCATTATTGTTACAAAAGTGCATCGTGGTTGCATTTTATCACCGATACGCAGCAATTTGAGTTCATTTGGAATTAAAAGAAGCAGACACTGACATGTGCAGTGTAAGAGGGGAGAAAGACAGGATTGCTTCTTAAAAAGTAGCATTGGGAGGGGGGAGTACTCTGTCTTTATTTAGGTGTTAAGGCCCCAGTCACACAGGCCTACAGACCAGTCGCTAGGGAAAAATATATATTCCCTGAGCAGCTGGGAAGTACTTGGTCTAGGTTCCTGGCTGTCACTTGCTAAAGCCACAGGGAGACACAGAACTTGGCAGGACCTGCAGCAACCTGCTAGAGGCTGCTAGAGAATAAGTGTATTTCCTGACTGATTGCTGGTGGTTGCTAAGTGGAATTGTTCGCTGACGTTTCCAGTGCTGCACCAAAAATCTCCTTGCCGTTGCTTTGGTTGCTAGCAGATTGCCATGGCTTGTATTTTGCACCAAGAGTGCTAACTTCTCTACAAACACTCGCCAACTACTTGATAATTGGTGAAACCGTGCCTTTTTCAAATTACTTTGAAGGTGAACAGTCACCTTTTATGTTTTACTTTTTCAGTTTTCAGTACTTGGAAGCTTTTTCAGATAAGTCAGTTTCTCCTCTGCAAACTACAGGAAAAAGAAAGGATCACAAAGAGGTTTTTGGTGCAGCTCCACTTACGGATGCCAGATATTTTGGGGAACATATATTCTTCCATCACTGACGGGTTTCTAGACCTGTGTTACAAAGGCCTAAAGTTCTGTTCATGCTGCATATTTACTCATATTTGTTCACCAACTCGTTCACCTTCTGTTGGAATAAACAGTGTTAAGCAATAAGCCAATAAGTCGTATGAGGCGTCTTTCTCTCAGAGTAGCTCAGCTGTCTCATGGTCACAAACACAAAAAGACACAGACTAATGCACACATCAGGAGAGGCGGGTGAATGTGACCCAACACTTCACATTCACCCGTAAGGAGCAAATGGAACAAAAGGTGAAATATAACATCTCCGGAAAGGAAAAGAAGAGATGCAGAAACCATTTGGAGGCAGCGCTATGGAAGCATTTTCTTTTTCCTTATGTCTTTATTTTCCTTTAATAGTAAATAAACTTCCTTTTACATAGCAAGTTGTCTGTGTATCCGTAGCCACATTGTAAACAGGGTGCCAACATGTCAAAATCAACATAAAAAGGCTTAAATAAAATAAGGCTTATAAATTATGCCAAAATGAATCCATTGTCCAAATCATGATGTTTGATGGTTTTCAGTCTTGTATCAGGAAAATGGGCAAAATTCATTGTTGTCTTCTCTCGGTTCTTTTACATTTTATTTTGATAACAGCTACACAGATTCCTTTATGAACGCAAATACAATTCATAATATTCATATGGAGAGTGGGGCCACATAAATAAAATACTACTAATACTATGAACAGAAGAGATTACAGTAATTTTCCTGGAGGTCTAGCAGAGACTAGTTAATGTCGCTATCCATGGTGCTGATTTGAAGTCAAGGGCGCAACGAGAAGAGCTCTTAAAATACATAAATCATACAAGAAGTTTTAACTCTTGCAAATTTATATTAAATAAATAAATAAAAAGAACAATACACTATTTAAATCCCCATTTATGATGGAGGATTCACCAGCACAAATGTTTACCTGAAGCGGTGAAACAGTAGTCATGAATATTCACAGCGTGATCGGAATGTCTTTGTGTCGTTGGGGGAAATGCCATTTGCTTTTCAAACCTGTGACAAGATCAACTTTTATGAAGTGAGTGTAGGTTGGCTAGGTGGGAGGTCCATCTGGCGCTATGGGATGCCCTTGTCATTGAGGGGGGACACAGCATGGACATGCCCACGGAACAAGGCGACAGATGCCAAAAAAAAAAAAAAAAGAAAAGAAAAGTACAACAAAAAAACAAAAGTACACACACTGACAGGAGCTGCAGCTGGCACCCGGGGGTGGCATATCCTTGACATGCAATCGCCTTTCCTTGATAAGAAAGTGAAAGACAAGAGGGTGAAAGCAAAGGAGGGTATGATTGAATGTGGGTTTTGCTGTTGTTTTGTGTGTGTGTGTGTGTGTGTGTCGTAGACTTTTCCGCTGCCTCAGCTCCTTGGCAGTATCTGTCTGTCGCCAAGGGGCCCCAGCCCTGGCCCCGAATCAGCCGGCGAGCTGTGTCCACTCAGCACTTCCCCTTGCCGCTGGTAAATTAGTCCCAGCAATATGCCACACAGCTCCTCACACCCTTCTCACTTGTGTGCTATTGTTCATGCCCTTGAGGGAGGCAAGCATGTGTGTGGACTCTTTTGTGTGTGTGTGTGTGTGTGTGTGTGTGTGTGTGTGTGTGTGTGTGTGTATGCACTGCTGATGCAAATATGTTCATGTTCAAATGTGATTAAGGAAGCTTATACTAGATTTTTATGCATATAAGCCTTATTTCCTATCAGGGACTTTGGTCATAATTCCAGCGGTCACCTTGAGTTCCACAAAGCTAACAAAAACTAGTCTCCTTTAAATCAGATGATGAATTCAGACATTTCAGCAATTTAATAACACCATTTCAGTGGTACGTATGTGATGGGCCCTCAGGCTGAATTTTCTTCTTTCAAAAGGTCTCTGCTGAAACCAGAGTGTGTCTGTTTTAAAGAAACACAGAGAGTGCTGTTTGTCACAGGTTGCCACATTATAAGAAGCCACATGATACTATGATGGGCACAGCCTTTCCATCACATTTGGCAGAATTGCTCTTAATTTTCAGAACAGCGTTATTGGCTTGTGGTCGCAGGGCTATCGCGCTCAGCTCTCCTTTCCGATTTACAGCTTTGACCAGGCGGAAGTACATTTTGTTACTTTTTGGTATTTCATGGGGTCATTTTTAGATCTTACTCAATTGAATTTCAGAATTTCAAAACGTGTTCTGTTTTCAATAGAGGTCAATGTTGTTCATTTTGGACAGTTGTTGCTGTTGTTACTGAAACAGTTTAGTTTTTTTAATGGGGAAATGTCAAACAATAGCCTAGGGCTTAATGCTAGACATGACAATTTTTTCTTTCGGCTCACCTCACATAATTTCGAAGAAAACATTTCTGTTAAGGGTGAAAAAAGAAGCAGACATCGGCAGATATGATGCATTGCAGTTCTCTGGTCGCATGAAGCACAAGACAGCGGGTGTCTTTGGCACTTTGCGCAGCAGCCGGGACATTAATAAAGCTGAACTGCCTGACTTTGGTCTTGTCGGTGAGCTTCAAAGTTAAGGTTATAAAACCCATGTATCAATATTAAATAAGTGTCGTTTTCAAATTGTATCGCCAGTAATGTGACTGCTTCTCACAACAGTGTTTTCATTTTTAAAAGAAGATAAGCTGTTCACCTATATAGAGCGCATAAATAAAGATGTGACATTTAAAAGGCCCCACATTCCTGGCTGTAATTCTACACACTCACCCAGTGGGTGGTGGAATTAACGAGGCTACTAGCCACTAAAGCACATGTAGCGGGTGGGGACCCCTGATGGTTGCAGTGCTACTGCCAGGGCTGGACAAACTTTACTATCTTAACCACAAACCAGGTCCAAAGGAGAAACACATCCTGTGATCTGTCACCCCCCAGTTGTGCATCAGATCAGTGAAGTGGACCCCTAGCTTCAAGCTCCAGGCAGGTCAACAGATGACTGTTCAGACCTCCTTTGTAGGTAGAATCTCCTAGGGCCCGTTGCCACTCACAGATCACTACAGAGAATTTGCTTTCTAGATACAAAATATGCACCATTTAGAACAGCACGGCAAGACAAGATTTAGAGCAAAGATTATTTCTTTGGTTTATAAAACCATTATGTTTACCACATTATGCTAATTTCCTACCACGGAGAGATAGACATCGTATATGGCTGTATACGGTTCACTTTGATCTTAAATTAGGCCAGATCAATGAAACTGCCCTTTCTGTCAGGGTAAAGAAGTTTAATCATGCATTGAATCCCTCAGATATTTTCATGTCAGATAAAAGAAGTACGATTTAAACAGTACGTCTCAACTTTTCTACATGATAAAGAAATGCCGCTGTGATAAATACAGGAGATCTGTTAGCACGGCTCTTTGGAACTAAAATGTAAGTAATACATGTATAAAATTACAGTAAACGTAACTCACTGGCCAGACTGTCTTGTAATGATGAAATGAAACAAAGCTGTTTTGCTTCGATTTTTTTATACTGACTAACTATAGAAATGGACATTTCTGTTGTAGATAGTGAACAAAGAAGAAACATTATGCTACACCAATGTTTATCTATTATTTAGTTTC